CTCTTTTGGCCAATTTGGTTCCATTTCGCGAAATTTCCACCCGGGGGTTGTTTTGGTTTTGCCTTTTTTGGGTTGTTCCACCGGGGGTGGTTCCCTCTTTTAACGTAAAATTGCGAGCCAGGCAAATAATTTTTTGGACGTTTTGAGAAATTAACCACTGGCTTCCCCCGTAAAGCTGGAATGACCAGTTCTTTTTAAGAATGGAATGCTTCCAAGTGGAGAAGAACATGGTTTGATTCGAACTGGATTGTTTCATTCCCTTGGGTAGAGGGCAAAAAAATACAGTTCACAGTTGACGGAGTATATTTCAAGAATTAAACCATCATTCTTTGGCTAAATTTTAAATTAAAACATCGAATAACCATCTAAAAATCCACATCAATCCATTCCCACTGTTCCCAACCCATCAATACCACTCTTTATAGCCAAACTTGCCAATTTAAACCTCATCTCTTGCACCAAACTTTTTCATCAAACTTTTCGACATCGATTTTTTGCCAATTTTTAACTGAAATTTAAAGGATTTAAACACTGTCAAACACACCAAATGGGTACGAGATACTTGGGCAAAAGAGGTCAAACAAGTATTGGATCAGGTTGTTAAGTTGCTATTGTGGGGTTACTAGACGGTTACATTTGATATATCCAATTTGTTTGAGTTTTTTTGCATTATTCTGTGAGTTTTGCAAGAATTGCTAGTTCGATCTGAAAATAAGAATAGAAATAAACTTAAAAATAAAATTATAGAACGATGTTTGCCAGATTAATCAATGGCCAGGGAAGAACCCATGGTATTACAGGGATGAGACACTTGAGTTGTGGCAGAGCAATCTATCAGAAGTCGAACAGCACACCTATTTTTGATCACACTCAATTGAATCCTATCAGTAAGAACAGTAAGAAAACCAATTCTTTGCAAATGATGGGTTCTACTACAAGCACAGAAACTGATAGCAGTACCACTACTGGTGGGTTCAAATACGCTTTCAATCCAAGAGAAGATGCAATGGATTCAAAACTGACAGGTGTGCTGGCCGGCAGAACCGTCGACGTTTACAATAACGACATTGCTAGTGCATTTAGACAACTGAGTTCTAAACTAACTGCAAACAACATTGCAGTCGATAGAAGAACACAAAGATTCTACATGAAACCAGGTAAGGTGGCCGAACTCAAGAAATCCCAAAGACATAGAAGAGAGTTCATGATGGGCTTCAAGAGATTGATGGATATAGTTAAAGATGCAAAGAGAAAAGGCTACTAGACCATACTTTTCCTTTTAACTGATTTCTCTTTC